CGGGGCAGGTGAAGGAAACCGGAGCCGCACTCGGTTCCCGCCGGTCAGGCTTCAGTAAATTAGCGGTAGAAAATCACGGATATGGGGAACACGGGGCGAACCTGTAGGCGCGTTACCCCAGAGCAAAAGTGCAGGGTTGGCAGGGAGAGCCAGCTCGCTCAGGAGGGGTTGGGAAGGCCCTCGTGTCGGGGGGGGCAATTCTCAGTGGAATAACCTGTGAGACCCCCAATTTTAGGTAGAAAGATGCAACAATTAATATTTAGCACTAACGCCCCTCAAGCTATCTTTACAGTAAACAAATTTAAAATATTCAGAGACAAAAAATCACCATGTGCAACGAGAGGGCATAGAAATACAGAGTAACAGCACTGCCTCTTCGCGCAACAGTTCTCTGTGCGCTGGCACGCTTGCAGAAATCAGTCCCCTTCTGTTCCACAGATGAGAATCCACAGAGGAGGAGGCAGCACCCACCACAAAAGAGATCGCACTCTTCATGCACCTACACGCTAAAAAAATTCTCTTCTGCTCGGGTGGAAACCCATGCTACAGCTACGGTGTTCACGCACATTATTTTCAGATAATAAATCAGTGAGCAAGTTTTTGAAGCCACTAAGTCAATTGAATGAAAATGATCTGCTTTCCTGTTAAAGTAACCAATAACATAAGTGTGCCGTATACCTCTCCCAAATTTCATGTTGAAATTGCTTTCTTAGAGAAAGCAAATATTTTTGCAAAAAGTGTAGTATTTCACTCATATGTAAAAAAAAAAAAGGCAAAAAAAAAAGCTGGACCACTCCTATTCCTTTCATTTGATCAAGCCATCATGATTTAGTTGATGATACACATACCTGAATATCAACAATTAACAAATAATCTAAGCAGACAAGACCAACCAGGCCTGCTCACTGAAAACCAGGAACTGCCAGCAACAGAAGACTGTAAACAAACTCTTATCTCCCAAATTGTCAGCAACTGAACAGGCCAGCAGTAAAACCAGTATGTTGAACCTAAAAAGCAGGTTGAATCAGGGCAATGAGTCAACTCAAAATGCTAGTTTTGATACTTGTGAATGAAACTATTTTACCAGCACTCCCACTATAAAACTGCGCTTGTGTGCAGGCTATCCTTCTACGCTTGGTTTCCAGCAGACAGCTCTGAGTATTGAACCAACCATATACGTATAATACTGCAGGACCAATTTCTGTAGAGTCATTTTACACTCAAATATGAGGAATCAGCCTTCTGCACAGTAGTCTGTAACTGGAAAGTTCTCTCACCAGGCTCTGCTGCCTCAGACAGCTTTGTCTGGTGCAGGAACACGCGCTGAGCTACAGTATGTTCCAAAATCATGACGCTGTACTAGGAGACAGGTTTCTTTGCTTTTCTATGCCAAAGCACAAGTACTAGTTTCGTCAGTGAAAAGGCTGCAGGTCCAAACTAAAAAGACTCGTGTCATCACTCTATTCAAAAACAAAAAAAAAAGAAAATGCAATTCATTATAAAATCCTGTGTATCCAGGACCGAAAGATAATTCTGGAGATTGGAAAAAAATGCATCTGGGAAAGCTCTCTGATACCCCATGTTATCTATATTGACTATGTGCTCGGCTGCTTGATCCATAAAACTGTGGGTCATGTAACACTCACAAAATTTCACAGAATCACATCATAGCTGAGGCTGGACACAACCTCTGGCGACCCTCTAGTTCAGCCTATGCTCAGAGCAGCGTTGTGTCCAGCTGGTCTTGAGTATCTCCAAGGTTGGAGACTCCACAACCTCTCTGGGTAATCCGTTCGAATGTTCAACCATCCTCACTGTAAAAAAGGTTTTTCATCTGTCAAATGGAACTTCCCGTGTTTCAGTTTGTGCCCATTGCCTCTGAGAAGAGTCTGGCTTCACCTTCTTTACCCCTACTATCAGGCTTTTAGATACATCGATAAGATCCTCTCCCTTGAGCCTCCTCTTCTGAAGGTTAAACAGTCCCAGCTCTCTCAGCCTGTCCTCCCATTTCACCTGTGGTTGCACAAATGCCTCTTCCCTGGCTGGCTGCTTGGAAAAAACCACTTCATTCCCTCAAACCTCAAAACCTCATTACTCGGAGACTGTGCTCCTAATGTATTTTTCTTCCATCCTGCTGTTGTGGGCTGACCCTGGCCACCAGATACGCACCCACACAGCTGCTAGTTCAACTCCCCTGCCTCCTTCCCCAGCAGGAGGAGAGGATAGGAAAAAAAGAGAAAAAACTCATGGGTCGAGATAAAGATGGCTTAATAAGTGAGGGGAAAAAAAAAAGTCTGAATTAATAAAATGTAGTAAATAAGGATAAAAACAAAAAGGCAATGCTAAGGCAATCCCTCACCAAGGCCCACAAGCAGACCAATGCCTGGTCGGTCTCTGAAAGGCAGCTTTGAAGTCAACACCATCCTGCCCTTTTCCTCTACCCTGTGCTAGTGCTGGGCTTGATGTCATAGAATCATAGAATCATTAAGGTTGGAAAAGACCTCTAAGATCATGAAGTCCAACTGTCAACCCAACACCCCCATGACTGCTAAACTGTATCCCAAAGTGCAATGTCTATGCATTTTTTGAACACCTCCAGGCATGGGGACTCAACCATCTCCCCAGGCAGCCTGTTCCAATGCCTGACCACTCTTTCAGTAAAGAAATTTTTCCTAATACCCAATCTAAACCTCCCCTGGTGCAACTTAAGGACGTTGCCTCTCGTCCTCATATGGCATGGAGTATCCTGTTGGTCAGCTGGGGTCAGCTGTTCTAGCTGCGTCCCCTCCCAACATCTTGCCTGTCGCCAGCCTGGTTACCAGGATGGGAGTGTGGGCAGAGTTGGAAAGAGAGACAGCCTTGACCCTGCACAAG